TATCTTTCAAGGTAAACAGAAAACTTAAGAGCAATTGTACACCATCTCGAGCTATGACAAGCCAGCTAACAACCAAATGATGGTGAGAGAGCAAAGAAATGATGCCTGATGTCTGGTCATTTCAATTCAGTGAAAGACTCACTTGGTGATTATGCTGTGTTCAAAATCTCAGTGAAGTCTGGAAGGTTGCTATCTTTGGGGAAAAGCATTATTGAAGGTTGGTAAAACACAGACCACACCTGAAAACTGCCAAGTGGCTTGCTCAAGAGATACTGAACAGGCGAGTAGATGCAAGGAATTGCCACATGGACTGCTAAGAGTATAATTATGACCTGGTTCTTGAAAATACATTTCCAGATGGATGGAAATTTCTTACCGTGAGAAAGTCTCAAGGGAAGCAGGGAGAGCCCTGGGAACAGAAAGAAGATGAAGGGTGATTTTGAATCTGGAAGTTGCAATGAGGTAGATGTAACTTCTAGTGTCGGGGGACTGACCTTAGATGGAAACCCAGGGCCAGCAGGGCAGAGTGATTAAGAACATAGCCTCTAGACACACCTCTTGGGTTTCAAGTTTTTGTTCCACCACTTACTACATGTGTGACCTTGGTAAGTTACTTAGTGCTTTAGCTTTCTCCTCTTTACAATGAGGACAAAAGTATTACCTACTTCATGAAAATGTTGAAAGTAGAAAAATAATTAATATATATATAAAACACTTGGTGCGTGGTATTTACATTAATTATCATTATCATTATAAGAGACAAGCAGGACGTTAGTTCCTGATTGTTTTGGATGTTTATCTGTGCAGAGGCAGAGGCCAAGCCAGATGTTTCAGATCATTCACACCGAGTCTCCAGGAAACCACCATTTCTGGGTGTGGCTACCAAACATATTATATTATTTTGGTGCGTTTTCCTCTTTTAGCAACTGACTTATTGTGGCAAGACCAGAATATTATACAGCACATACAGGACAGCCACCTTACTACCCTTACCACAATTAGAAGGCTGATGAGTTTTGTTTGCTTATACACAGATTTCCTTTTAGACAACTAAGAAAAGAAATAATTTGTGAAGGTGTTTGGACATTTAGTCTGTATCCCTTAGACCCCAGGGTTCAAGGAATGCTTCCAGGAAGAAGTGATGCTCCCACTGAAAACTAAAGGCTGAGTAGGCCAGCCAGGGAAGAAGATGAGACAGGACATGTCAGATGGGGGAAGCGGAAAGTGTTCTTGACCACAAACATCCCACTTCTATGCTGTCCCCAGAGACAATGCCTCCTTAGTCAGGCTCCGGTGGAATGCCTGCAGTCCTCTAACTTTAGAGAAATGAACATCACTAACTACCTAGGAAGTCTTCAGGGACGCCAAAGGCCTGGATGGAGAATGCCTTCTCCCGTGTTCTCAGAGCCCCCCGTGCTGAGGCATACAACAGCACTGACTGCCCTGTATTACGAAGGTCCTCTTGCTCCCAGCACTAAGCACCAAACCCCTTGATGACAAGAACATGTCTCACTCACCTGGGCGTGCTCAGCACCTGGCATGGTCCCTAGTGCTTAGTAAGTGCTTCATGCATGTTTGATGAGAGAACAGCTCTCTGGGAATTTAGTTACGTGATCCTTCCTGAAAGCTCGCCAGGAATGGAGACAACTCCCTTGAGTCAGCCTCCTGCTTACACTTCAACGGCTCTCCCACTGCCTTGGGGATACAAGATGTTTAGCTTTGTCTCCTTGCTTCTTTCACAGAAGCACCGTGTTCAGCCACCCTAAACTCAACACTATTTCCAGAATGTACCTTTCTTGCCAATGAAAACACACTTCTTTTATTGTTTCCTTGCTCATGTAGGAGATTCATCCTTCAAAGTTCAGCTTACATTTATGTGAAGTCCTCCCAATTCTCCTTTCTCTTTGGCTTCCTTCCTTTCTCTAAATCTCTCCTCTACCAACTAACTTCTTTCTCTTTTTCTGATCAAGCTTTTTGGATACCACGACTACAGAAATTTTCATATTGAATGGTGATTTTTCTTTATGTTTCTCTCCTTTACAAGGCCAAGAACTCTTAGAAGGCAGAGAACGTGATGTATTCATCTCTGTAGCAGAGCAGAGCCTGACACATTGCAGTACACACATACAAAGCTCCAACTAACGTCCTATGGGCTTCCCTTCTGAGTTTAGCTTCCCTGGGGCAGTGTGAAGAAGTCTGTGCAAGCTTCAACTCACTGCAGCAGACAGCCTCTCCCCTTGCTTTCTGCCCCAGATTCCTCCAGGATCCCAGACACCGAAAGGGGTCAAGGGTGGGACCTCCTCAGCCTTCAGGCATGTGGAGCCTAAAGGAGAGGAAGACGTTAACAACCATAGGCTGGCCCTCCTCCACGGGGGACTGGAGCCCTCGGATAATTGCTTCACCCTATCATCCTTTAGGAGACAATCCCAGCAAACAGCCCCAGCAGAAATGAGTTTCCATTGCCCACAGTGAGGTCCTCCATAATATGCTCTTACATTCATTGGCTTTTCTTCTTTTCCTCTCCTCTTTCTACTTGCTCACTTCTGTTCCTTAGGATCACTTCCCAAAGATATTACTTGTATGCAATTCTTTGTCTCAGATTCGGCTTTTTAAGGGAACACAGGTAGCATTCAAAAATATTTTTGGAATAAAAGAATAAATAATGGAAAAAATCAATGAGGCAATGAGCGAAGAAATAGTTACTATGTATTTAGCATGCTATGGGTTCTTATACTTTGTATTCTGTTATGCTTTGTTGACTCCAACCGAGAGAATGAGAGCTGGAAACCCATGCTAGATGGTTCTGCTGGAGAAGCCAGGCTGCCAGTCACTCCTCCTTCCTTCCTCTGCCTCCAAGAGAAGCCAGTGTGTGTTTCTGAGTGCTCACACTTCCTGAGACTCACATTTCCTAAACTTGAGGCAGTTTGTTTCTGATGGGGATGTGAGAACTGAAGCCCCAGGATATGACCAAATTAGCCTTTGGCCAACAATAGCAGACAAAAGTTAGTATATTTTTCACAGCTTGATTAGAAGAGTTTGCATCTGAGAAGGGCAGTATTATTACATCTGACTTTCTGGATTGCAGCTGGGACATTGTCCTCCAGACCACTCGCCGCAGAGACTCCGCTCCAGCTGACAGCACGTGTGTTTCTTCACTCCGACCCAGAGCTGTCCTCCCGCCTGAGTACTTTTCCGATGCCAGTGCCCTCACTCCCCAGCTGCCTCCATTTGCTGCCTGAGCTTCTTTTCTCTCTACTGTCCTTTTACTTCAGCTGGCACGACTCTGCTATGGTCTTTAAAATTTGTCCCCAAACTTAAGCTTTCTTAATTCTAGCTCCTTTCAGAAGTGGTCAAGGGGCCCTTGAGTTTATCTGAGAGTCAGGAGTACCAAAAAGAGGCAGCATTTTGTAAACTCCTATTTCCCCTTGGCTGGTGGACCACCGGGCACCAGAATCACTTAGGGCGCTTGTTAAATATACAGATCCCTGGGACCGACCCCAGAACTACTCCGTCAGAATCACTGGTGTTTGCGCTTGGGGGTCTGCATTTTTATCAAGTACTCCAAGTGACTGTTATGCACATTCAGGTTCAAGAGTCCCTTTAATTTGTTCTTGTCTGTAATTTTTCTATAACATTTGCTCCTCTTTTCTCATGAGAAGGTGCAAAGGGCTCTGAAATATCTATTCCAGTACAGCTTTTAAGCAAAGCCAGAACCAAAGCAGATTTTCTATGCAGATTTTCTCATTAAATACAAGGTCAAGGAAGTAATTGCTCACTTACCTTCCATGGTAGGTGACCACGAAGACTCTCTTGTTTATGGCACATTGTGTTGTAGCTGGTTGGTTATTAAGTAGGAGGGGGGCTAACCTAGCTCAGAAACTTGTAATCCTGTTACTGATTAGAATCACCTGGAGAGCTTAAAAATGCAATGTCCAAGCCCTCCTGTCTAGATATTCTGATTCGATTGGTTGAGGTGATACCTGTTTATTTTAAAAGCTACCTAGGTGAACCTCAAGCTAAAGTAAAGACCTGCTGTGTAGTTACTAAGGGCGTGGGACTGATGGTTGTTTTGCATTAGAGGTAAGAATTTCTTTGGTGCAAAAGATGGAAATGACTATGCCAGGTTGAGGGAGATATATGCCATGATGTGGAGGCACAGGATTATGGAGAGGTCTAGAAGGCAAGTCGATTCAAATTCAGTTAGGCCTCATCACCAGGAAAGCATATACATGGAGATATCTACACTCATATCCATCAGTTAGTCAGTTTCTGATGAAGGGCCTTCACTGAGATAAAACTTTAGCTTTTAGCCTTCATGAAATGACATTTGAAAATATTCCTGAACTTATTCAAAATGGCAGGGAATATATAATTTACTAAACTACTTGGTAATGAACCTTGCAATAGATTTCTTTCATTTGGGTATCAAGAAAAAGTCTATATCTCATAATACAATTTCATGTTTCCATTACATGAAAAAGAGTATTACATGGTCCACGATGTTTTATTTTTTGACTTTGACTATTAGGAATCTCAGTGTTAATTTTAGGTAATTTTAATTTTAGTTCATTTTGGTGCTCACATTGGGCTTCAGATGAAATTTTCTCTCTCTACTCTTTGTGTTCTTTTCTTTTTTTTTTTAAATATGGAATGCTTCACAAATTTACGTGTCATCCTTGTGCAGGGCCATGCTAATCTTCTCTGTATTGTTCCAATTTTAGTATATGTGCTGCTGAACCGAGCACTCTTTGTGTTATTTTCAACATTTCTTTTCAATATGTATTTTGATTAACCAAGTTAATACGTACTTTAACACAGAATGTATCTAATTCCTTTTTGGAAATAGACAAATATTACCCTTTATATCCATCCACTTTTCATAGTTACATCCATACCAAGGCTATGAGGATCCACAGGATTTCTGGCTCCTGCCCATTCTCTGACCTCATGCCCTATCACTCCCCTTTTTTGCACTCCACCCCTTCAGTTACCCAACATACCAAGCTCAGTCTTCTTCGTCCTTCTTTTACTTGGATTTTCTCTTCAACTAGAATGGTGCTTCCCAATGCTCTTCACAGCCTGCAACATACAGAAAATGGTAACATTTGAACAACACACTGGAGTAAACAGAGGAGGCGACTGACCACAAGGGGGTGACTGGTCAGAGGCTTTGCTGCCCCAGGCTTTGCCCTGCTGGCCCAAAGGCTGAGAAGATCAGTATGTTATTACAGTACACCACCAAAGAGATCTTTGAATGCCTGTCTCCTTTGTACTATTCGAGTCTCAACCTAAATGTCACTTCTTCAGAGAAGCTCACCTCACCAACCTCACAGGAGTAAGACCCCTTCAGCAACTTCACCAAACTGCTCAATTTTATCTTCACCATAACATTATCAGCACCTGCAATTATCTCAGTTATTTCTTTATTATTCACTTGTTTCTAGTTTGTTTCTACTAGTTTCAGTATGAAGTGACTGAGTGTAGGAATACTTGAAGGTCTTATTAATCATTATGTACAAAAAGCCTAGAAAAAATAGTAAATACTCAATAAACATGGCAGACTGATGGGAAAATGGTTACTTGGCCAGGATATTTCCCATTCTCAGATGAGGCTTCACCTAGTGTGGCTTGGAAACATGGTTCAGTGGTTGCAGTAAGGCAACGACTCTGTCTTTCTATCTTTATAGTCTTATTGGATGGTATGCTGCCTGGCTCATGCAATAAGTTCTTGTTGTGTAAATGAATGAAGGGAGGAAGGAAGGAAAGAAAGAGGGAAGGAATGAAAATAGGAAGGAAGAAAAAATGAAAGGAAGAAAGGCAAGGATAATTGAAGACAAACTTCAACTTCTTTGGTCTGTTTTCAAGTTTTGGAAATTTTCATCCGGTGCTAGTAGCAGTTTAGTCTGAACACTGGATAATAATGTTAGGGGCCTTCTAACTGATGCAGCCAGGCTAATATGAGGTACCCATCATGTGATCTAGGGCAAATAACTTAATCATGAGGACCCTCAGTTTCCTTTCTGCACATTAAGTTCGGGTTAGGTGAGCCCTGCAGTCCCTTATCATTTTGAAATGTCTGCTATTTTAATTGACAGAAAATCAGAAAGGGGATGCTGAGGAAGTTATCAAGCAGATAATCCAGATAGTAGCCAGGATCCTTGAAGGGGGACCAGAAGCTGCTATTTAAAAACATGATGACTAGGAAAGATCCAGGAAGCCCGAAGGGCATGTTTTCAGGGAGGTTGGGCTTTCTACCTAGAACAACTACGCTGTCCTCTCTCTCTGCCCATGTACTGCTGAGCAGCACCTTCTCATTAGTTGGTGATCTTTAGTGAATGAGCAACAACAGCTGCTCAGGTCAGGTAGCTGCATGCAGGAAGTGTTCTAGGGTAGAGAATTCTATTTTCTCATTGTACTCAAGTATTTTAGAAACAAACAAGCAAAAGGCCTTACTAGGCCTCCATTTATTTATTTATTTGAAAAATTGTATAGGCGCAGGCTGTTGTGAACGTTAAATAAAACATTGCATGGAAAGGGCCTAGTATAGAGTTAGGCATATAATAAACACTTAATCATGCTGGCTACCACTGTTATTACATTATGCAAGTCATGAGCTAGAAGCCAAAATATTTAATCCCAAATACCAGCATTTGATTCCATTTCTTTCTGCTGCAGATAGAGCAGTTGGCTACGAAGTCCAGAGGAGAAGATCCAGAGCTGTGTATGATGACAGTCATCTTCTTCAATTAAAATGCCTCCGTATATTAATAACCCCAGCTGTGTTTCCCAAACAATTTGGAAAAGTTGCAAAATCCAAAAATAAAGCAAAACAAAGAGATACTCAGTCTGGAGGCAAATTTCAATTTTAGATTTCTTACAGAAAAAAAGATTGTTATCGTGTTTGAGATTAAAAATATATCAACATTGCATTTAGTAACAATCAGTTACTGTGGCACACTCAACTCCTCATCTATGTCTCTCTAACAGGAGAAGATATTTTGAACATTTACATCTTCAGAGAACCATCATTTTGTTTATTTTTGTTTTGTATTTCATTATGTGATGGGCCTGGAATAAGTGATTTCTCATGCACAATAACAATTATTGAAAGGTGTAGCTCTTTTTTGTTTTCAAGGTGGAATTAGGAATTAAGAATATAATAATTTTAGAAGACAAGATATTCAGTTTCAAAATGGATGAACACTGCTAATAATGAGGTCTAAAAACTTTTCAAAACGTTAGTTCTTGGATAATTTTAAATAAAAAATTATCTTTGATAAAACATCAGTAGTAATTTTTTACTAATTTTAGTTTAGTTTAAAGATGCTCTTTTCCATTGAAATTTTAAGTAATTGACTATAAACTCAAATACTGTCATTTACTATAAATTCTCTATATTCATTTTACATTAAGGAAGTTAATTATGTGTATCTTTTTTAAAATATAAAAATTTGAGTTACTATTTATGCATATTAACTTACAATTCTTTTCTTTTTGGAGAACAAGTATATTTCACATTAATAGAAAAGCTGAAGAAAGCCCAAGATAAAAAATATTTTGGAAAACTACTTAAAATTTTAATTTTACTAACATTTATTGACCACTTAAGATACAAGGAACTCCAATAAGTTCTTTAATTGCATTTTCTTATTTAAGCTTGATGAAACCCATTAAGGTAGAAATTTTTCTATCTTCTGGTAAACTTTGCAGGCTCTATATTCAAAACTTTTCCCCACTGCAAAATATTAAATAATGATAGATAAGCTATAACTACCAGGCAGAAGTGAGCGCTCAAGAAATTAAGGAAAATCTTCAGTAACCAAAAATGACAGGAACAAAAGCCAGAGTAATAAGCCAACACCAAAGTTATAGATACCTTACAGACAATTTGCTGATCAAAGGTGCCTAAATTCTGAAGTTTCAGTGAAACAGAACAACTCCTAAGGCACAGAAAATATGGCTGGGGTAGGAAGTTGAAATGAGACAGCTACAGAAGCTAGAATCTTCAAAGAACTTCAGTAGAAACAATGTCTCTTCCTGGCTTGAATCCTATACAGGGATACAGACTCCTCTGATAGTAACTAGCCATAAATGATGCTCTCACCTGAGATAGTAAGCCTACTGTGGTACGTAACAGAAGGAAAAATAAGTCTTCCTAAAATAATGTCGATTTAACCAAGATTCTCAGCATCCCCAAAAACAAAGATTAGTCAAATATAAACTCATAAGATAAAATCACCAATCACAATAGTATCCAAGCCAGCATGAGTGAGACTCAGCAGGAAAGAGAATTAGACAATCAGGGACACAGATAGTGGAATAATCAGAGGAAGAATAAAAAACAAAGATACTTAAAATGTTAACACAAAAAATAAAATTACAAACTGAGCAAGAAAAAAAGGTCCACTGAAATAACTAGACACGTTAGAAAAATAAGACATATAAAAGTTATGAAAGTAAAACATATAGTTGAAATTGAAAACTTCAAGGATTGGTTAAATGGCAGGTTAGATACAACTGAAGAGAGAATTGACAGTGTAGAAGGTGGATATACATTAACCAGAATATAGCACTGGAGGAAAAATTGAAAATATGACAGAGAAATTAAGACACATGGAAGATAGGAGGAGAGGTTCTTTTAGTATAGTTAGAATTTCAGAAGAAAAGAATAGAATGAATGAGGGAAAGGCAGTATTTGACAAATTAATAAATAAATGAAACAGAATTTTCCAGAATTAATGGAAATTATGACTCTTTAGTTTTAGGAAGCAAAATAAACCCCAGGAAAACTGAAAAAAAATTTTACTTCCAGACTCACTGAGGTAAAATTGCAGAACACACACATGCAAAAACCTAAAACCCCAGGATCTTAACAGTAGCTTTAGAGAAAAGGAAGATTATACATACATAAATGACAGACAGCAGCTTTCTCATCAACAGCAGCAATGCAAGGCAAAAATATTAAAGTAATTTCTCTTAGTTCTGAGAGTCACAGAGGTGTCAACCTCCAATTATGTTTGCAGCTAAATGAGGGAGAAATAAAAATATTTCAGTCAACAGAATATCAGGACAGTTTACTACTAATAGACCTTCATAAAAGAAATTTCTAAAGGACGATCTTCAGGCTGAAGGAAAATAATCCCAGGAGAAGTATCTGAGATGCAAGAAGAAATAGGTGATCAAATAAATTAGTAACCACATGGGAAAACATAAACAAATATTTACTGTATAACAATAAACATGCCTAATTAAGGGAATAAAAATTGAAATTATTGACAAAACTACTTACTTCACACATTTACCTTGGATGGAGATAATCTGAATCAAATTATTTAAAGGTGCTTATATGATTTGAGAGGTAGTAAAGAACATGAATAATCTCTATACTTTAAGTTGTTTAGTCATGTTAAAATATTAAGGAAGGTCATGACTAGAACATAGAACTTCATACAATAGAGGAAGAAAATTAATTTTGAAACTCAGCCAGCAGAACAGACACCAGGAATAGGTACAAGGTGAGATAGGATGAATATGAAAACAGATAATGATATAATGAAATAGCTTCCACTACATGAATAGTCATAGTAAAATTAAGACTAAACTCACCTGCTAAAACATAAAATATTTTCAGAATTGGAAAGAAAAGAATTATGATATTTTTTTACAAGGGACTCACCTCAAACTTTGAAGACAGAGAAAAGATGAAAGTTAATACATGGAATGAGAAATACTAGGTGAACACTCACGGAAAAGAACTGGTATGAACAAAACAGACTTTAAGGTAATGAATAGTGTTAGGGATACGGAGGGTAAACATTTAAGGCAGCAGGAACAGATACTAATTGTAATTCCATGTGTACCTATTTGAAAGTATATAAAGCAAACAGTGACAGAACTACAAGGAGAAGCTGACAAATCTCCTGTCCTTATGAGAAGTTACTCTATCCTATCCTATCTCCTTACTAATTTTTGTCTACTTGATCTATCAGCATCAATGTTTATCAGAAGGTGATCAAGTAGACAAAAATTAGTAAGGATATAGAAACTCTGAACAACACAATTAGCAAGCTTGATCAGAAAGATATGAATAGAGCTACATGTATCATAATTAGATGATTTCTCTTAGTCTGATAACTGATCATGTACTAGGCAGTAAAAATCAATGTCAAATTTTAAAAGAATTGGTGCATTTTACTTCACACTCTCTGATAATGATGAAATTAAATTACAAATCAATAATAAAAGATTGCTAAGAACAACTTTGCTTAATTGGCATTTAAAAGTATGCTTCTAAATTGCACAGTTTGGAAATCACCATGGACAGTATGAAATAGAATTGAATAGAATAAGTAACTTGTTGATGAAGAATCGAAAGGAAAGGCTCAAACAAATAATTAATAAGGGTCAAAACAAGAGATTCTAAAGGAAAGAATCAAAAGGAAAAGGCTCAAACAATTAATAAAGATCAAAACAAGAGATTCACTGCAGATACAAGAAAGATAATTAATTTAAACAACTTAGTGAAGATGGAAATCTTGCAAAAGAAAATTATAACTTAACATTGATTCTAGAAGTATTATAAAGCCTGAATTATTCTATAGTCACTAAATAAATTACCTCAGGAATTAAACACATACCTATCAAGAAAAACCAAGCCCAAATGTTTTAAGGATGAATTTTACCAAACAGTCAAAGGACAGATAGTTAAGGTCTTATAAAAGCTATTCCAGAGACTAGCAAAATGAAGGAATACTCTATATTTCATTTTTAAGAGGTCAGTATAACTTTTGGTACTGTTGTCAGAGTAGGACAGTACAAGAAAGGAAACTTACAGGCAAATCTCACTCAAAGATTTAGATGCAAAACCTAAAACCCAATATTAGTAACAAAGTATCAGTAACTTAAACCTAAAACAAAGTATAAGAAAGGAACAGAATAGGAAATAAAATTTCTTTAAGCTGATTGAGCATACCTTTCATAAATCCACTATGTGGTACAGCATTAGATGTATCCTCTCTAATATCACAAATGAGATGAGTATACTATCTATCCCTGCAACTCAAATTTTAAACTGCAGCTCTAGCCAGTTCATTAGGAAACAAAAAAGCAATTAAGTGCAAAAACCTTAGAAAGTTTTGCTGTAATATTTGTAGATAATTTGGTTGTCAACACAGAAAAACAAAATCTATAGATTATTAAAATTAACCAAGTACACAGAAGTAAAACCAATGAGATAACTTAATCACATTCTTATATATCAGCAAAAATTGAAAATATAATTTAAAAAATATACCATTTACATTAGCTACCATCTACACAATCACAAATACAATAACAACAAAATAAGATATCTAGAGGAAAAAATCTACCACAAGCTGTTCAAGTCATTAATGGAGACAACTAAAAACTACTGAAAGGCAAAAGAGAGCTACATAAATGGAAAGTTACATCATATTCACGGATAAGAAGATTCAATAACATAAAGATGTCTGTTCTTTTGAAATTATCACATAATTTCAATACAATTCCAATAAACTTCCACAACAATTTTGGGTACACATATAGGGGTAGGTTGGAAAAGTTGATTCAAAGTTAATACGTAACAGTAAAGGGCTAGGTATAGCGAAGAAATTTCAAGGAAGAATAAAGTAAAGAGGATTATCTATCACACATCAAATTTGTTGTAAAAGTTAAGATGTATTTTTGGAACAGAAACAGACCAATGGAAGAGAATAGAGAACCCAAAAGCAAACTTATGTGTTATGTTAAAACAAGATGTATGACAGAAGAGACTACAT